TGCTCACAAATGACTCTGTCTCTGGGTCTCACTTTCCTTACCTGTAAAGGTTTACCTCCCTCCCCCAGGGAGTGACGACCCCAGGTCGTGATGCAGTGGCTGACACCCCCGTCCCCTTCCCTGGGTGGGAGCCACCTCGAGCCCGGGGAGACAGCTTGTGACTGTGCGGTCATCCTTGGTTATTATTTCAGGTCCTGCCAAAAATCCAGCCCCTCTTGAAGGACAAAGGTTCACCCCTCCAAAACGGCTCACTAACACTTCTCAGAGTCCTAAACACTGTGTAGGTGGCAACCATCTCTGAGTCTTGCCACCACTGTGAGTAAGGCAACCTCATTATCCATTTCACAGGAGAAAGAGGCTCAGTGAACTGACTCTTGACTCCCTTGCTCCTCTCCCTGGAGTTTCACCTGGACATCTGTTCAAGCTCTCCTTTTACTGCCAGTAGTGTTTATGTATAATTAAAACAGCTAGCATCTGTTGAGTAACAAACTAACATTACAACCCATTCTCACTTTTCCACTTAATGCCTGTGGAAGTTACTATGCATCTCCACAAATTGAACTTTGTATCTTTACCTAACATCCTCTGCATCCTTTAATATTTTGGATCTGGCCAGGTGTGGTGACTCATGCCTGTAATCCCAGCACTTTGGGAGGCCAAGGCAGGCAGATCACTTGAGGTCAGGAGTTCAAGACCAGACTGGCCAACATGGTGAAACCCCATCTCTACTAAAAATACAAAAATTAGCAGGTGTGGTGGTGGATGCCTGTAATCCCAGCTGCTCAGGAGGCTGAGGTGGGAGAATCGCTTCAACGCAAGAGGCAGAGATTGCAGTGAGCTGAGATGGCGCTACTGCACTCCAGCCTAGGTGACCCACAGAGCGAGACTCCATGTCAAAAAAAAAAAAAAAAACAAAAAACCTTGCACCCTAAAACCCACTTGATATTAACTTTAACTTTGCCAATTCTGCTTTCTCTTTGGTTACATGTGACTGGTATGATTTTGTCCAACTTGTAATTTTGGTGTCTTTGTTGAGACAAGATCTCACTCTGTCACCCAGACTGGAGTGTACAGTGGCATAATCTCGGCTCACTGCAACCTCCATCTGGGCTCAAGCGACCATCCTGTCTTAGCCTCCCAAGTAGCTGAGACAACAGGCACGAGCCACCACACCCAGCTAATTTTTGTAATTTTGGCAGAGACAGGTCTTGCCATGCTGCCCAGGCTGGGTTCAAGGAAACTCAAACTCCTGGGTTCAAGAAAACCCAAGCCTCCCCAAGTGCTGCGATTACAGACGTGAGTCACTGTGCCCAATGTGTAATTTTGAACCTTTTCTTACTATCTTGTTTTAGATGTTTTTTGTAAGCAACTATAACTGGATTTTGTCTAAAGCAGTCTGATTTTGCTGGAACAACTGAGGGATCTGACATTTTTATGCCAGTTTATTTTATGTGAATGGTTTATTTTACTCCTTTTTCCATATTTTTGATGGTTTGGGAAAATTACTATTCATTCCCTTTCTGTTTTTGAGATAGAGTCTTGCTCTGTCACTCAGGCTGGAGTGCAGTGGCGCAATCTTGGCTGACCGCAACCTCTGCCTCCCAGGTTCAATTGATTCTCCTACCTCAGCCTCCCAAGTAGCTGGGAGTACAGGTCTGTCCCACCACACCCAGCTAATGTTTGTATTTTTAGTGGAGAAGGGGTTTTGCCATGTTGGCCAGGCTGGTCTAAAACTCATGACCTCAGT